GAGAGAGAGAGAGAGAGAGAGAGAGAGAGAGAGAGAGAGAGAGAGAGAGAGAGAGGTTAATAACCCTAGACAGGAAAAAGAAGGTATAAAAAAGAAAGAGCCAAGAAGTTGAGTTTATTTCTGTCAACTGTATATGAGAATTCTTAGGAGGAATTAAAGTATTTAATTTGACAAAGAAAAAATATTCTCACATTCAGTTTATAACATGTTTAAAAATGTAAGTTCCGTTCATAACATGTTTAAAGATTTGTACTCAGTATACAATGAAATAAGAAAAAAACTAATTTATATAAGTTATTAGGAGTCTGTTTATATGTAACATCTGGGTTTAAAGTTATAATTTAAGTATTTCAGTCCCAGTACCAGGCTAGTGCCAGTAAATGATATGCACCAGGAAATTTGTATGACTTTCTTAAACATCACCTCTTTTTCATAACAGTGGGAATAATACCTATATTTTCAATTAATTGTGAAACCTATACCAGATAATAACAGTAATAAAAAACAGTACTTTCCATGTTGTGCTAAATAAGTGTTGCCTGTCATTTTTATTATCACAATTAAACAAAGCAAGAGCCACTCTACTGTTGTCCCTGTACCCTTTGTTGAGGACTTTCGTTGTTTCAGTCTCACTAAGTAGAGTCTACCCAAGCTCAAATACATATCCCAGACTATCCTTGAATTCCTCAGCCTCCTGTTTCAGCTTCAAAAGTGCACTGTGTATCACCACATCTCACTTTGTCTTCTTTTCAATCTTCCCGTAAAAATGGCTTGCCTTTACATGGGTAAAGCAAAACAAGCAGCTGGGATTTTCTTCTAGAAAACTTATGAACTCTGTACATGACTAACATCAAGATGGATGTCATTTCAAATAAGTGGAAAATATGTCAGCTCATTTCTGCATCCTTCCAGTGTCATTTTTAAAATTGAGTTTGCATTTCTAATAATAATCTCAATTTCCAAGAAGAGTGTTACACAAGTAAATTCATGCCCAACAAAAAGATGATTTCTTACTAACACCCACAGGTACTCTTGTCCTGAGTGTTAGATACCCAATGTATATATATTCATGGTGTGAATATACATGTTTAATGTGTTTTAATACTTACTTTTAAAAAAATGTGCAGGTGCTTTTATATGTTTTGCTAAAGTCATACAATCACATTAGACTTCTGGTCCACAACTTATGTCCTTTCCCCTACTGTCTCTATCAAAAGCAGTAGCCAGCAATTCTTTCAAGATACAAACCAGATGAGTGACTTTGCCCACAAACCTGTGTAGATTCCAACTTCATTGAAAATGAAAGTCAAAGTCTTTCCCATAGTCTACCTTCCATGGCCAGCCCTTGTCTCCCAGTACTGATCTTCTTCACTTCCCTTGAGCATACCAGCTTTTTTCCTAAGGCTTCTAGACCTGTCAGTGAAGTTGCTGCCCCAGAAACTAGTACTGACCATTGCACTTGCCAGGGGATATTCCCATAGCCCATTCATTTATTTCCTTTATGTCTTTAACATGATACCACTTCCTCAATGAAATTGGGCCTGGTGACCATCTTTATAATTTTAAACCTACCCCCAAGCATGGAATTTTGTGTCAACTTGCCCTGTCCAACCTTCTTTCTCTAGCATAATATCACTTTATAACATGTTGTTCTCCCTGCTCTTGATAATGGCATATGTTTGCTGAAGCACTCTTATTTTTGTAGATGGTTTTGAGTGTTTATTGATGTTTTTATTATTTGTATATCTCCAAATGCAGGTAGCCAGTCAGATTTCATTTCTCTCTCCCTCTTTTTTAGGCACATATGTACTGTCATCTATGTACCACACTTCTCAGATCTGACATAAAGAAGAAAGTTGATCTGGCACTCGAACTTTCTCAGCTACTCCAGTTGGCAGGTTCTCTGATAGCTGACCAGACAAAGCATAAAAAGAACAGTCCTCAACATCTCCTGCCCCTCAGGACCCAAACTTCTTCCTAAGCATATCCCATTCCATTCTTTCTACATGCTACTTCCTCTTGTCTATGAATTGCAGTGTATGGTAGAAAGTTTAGATTAAAAAGCACCAGCTCTAATTGTTAGTTTAGCACACTCCCTAATTCTTTTAGCCATAAGACAAACAGGGCAAGGGTGGATCAGAAGTTCCACAGTCATGGGGCCAGGGATATGGCTCAGTGGTTAAGAGCACTGACTGTTTTTCCAAAAGTCCTGAGTTCAATTCCCATCAACCTCGTGGTAGATCACAATCACTTGTTATGGGATCTGGTACCTTCTTCTGGGCTTCAGAGACACATGCAGGCAGAACACTGTATATGTAATAAACAAATAAATCTTTAAAAAAAGATTATTTAAAAAGAAAAATAAATAAAGAGAAGTTACACAGTCACTAAACCATTCCATATTTGGCAAATATTACAGTTCTGATTTTAAAGAAGTTATATTCTGTTCTGTACTTACAATTTCAGAGGAAAGTTCTGAGAGGCTGTAAAATAAATTAACTATGGATATTATTATCAGGGTCATTAAGAATTCTCTTGTTCATTTTCATAACAATAACGTCCTATGGGAGAAAATAACCCAGAAAGGCAGCATGAAGAGATAAAATTTAATAATTTAAGTAGCCTTCAATTAAATAGAGCTCATAGACTGTGTGAAGCTCCATAAATATTTACATGGAGTATAACTACAGGGCTCAGACATCACCTGAGACATCCTAGGTGATTGCCCATGTCATTGATTTGACTTTGAGCTTAGTTTTCCCAGCCCAGAATAAAATCCAAGGTGCAAGAAAGGTTTTGCAGGTTATTACCAATATAAAAGAGCATTTTAAACCTATGGAACATCTCACGCTCCAGGGTATTTATAGATATTCTCTACTTATCTGGGATTTATTTGCTGTCGTCACTACTTTATGAACGGATGTTCTGATAAAGCCACACTGATAAAGATATGAAGTCTACTGCTTCTTGCAAATATTATTAGTCTACTAAAGTCTACTGCAGATTAAATTGGGTCACTAGACCTTCTTTATTTCCTCCAGTATGAGACTCCATAACCAGCAGGTTCATTCCCTCTTTCCTCCATACAATCACATTTCCTTATCTTTAGGGGTTCTAAACTTTAAGCTGATGACCACATTCTCATGTTTTTTAAAAGAGTGAATGTTTTCTCTTAATACTGTTTTTTGTGGATATTTTTGGGTTATACTACAAAACTTATGATCTCAATATTCCAAGCAATGAAATATTAGCAATAATCAAGCAAAACAATAAAACTAAGCATAAGTTCAAACAGTCTTACCTATAAAAGGTAATGTAATTCTAACAAGATAAAGGTGAATACAGGACAACTATATTTTATTTCTGTATGTACCCACATTGTCATAGTAGCGTGAAAGCTATTAAAAATCCACCTAACAGATGGTTTCTTTCCATTCATTCTTCCTGAAAAAAGAATCCAGAATAAGGGCAGGGTGTCAAAACAATCCAATATGGACATGTTCAAAACTGTGGGATTCGGTACATCGGAGGAATGAATCAATATGAAAACACATATAAAAAGGTAAAGGAAAAATAAGGCCAAATTGTTCAAGAAACCCCAACCCAGTGAGACTAAGGATTTCTAAAGTGCTTGCATACTATAGAAGGACACCAAGACTAAGTTGCTTTGTAATTACCAGTCAATAAGGATTTATGTACTACTGTTTATCATTTTACATGAAAAAAAAATTAACAACATTTGATATAGTACTCATAATTAGTATAGTATTTCTGGTCACTTATTTGTCCTTTTACAACTTCATAAATATATATAATATTTTATCAAACTTTCACACTCTCCTCTCTTATCCCCCATTAAATTCCTTAATCCCAAGGCTCCCTCCTACTTGCATATATGATTTTTGTATGTGATTCACTGCATTTAACTAGAGTTGCTTGCATGAACATGGATGGAAATTCATTGCTTACATGGTGAGCTGCTGTGTCACTGAAGAAAATGGCTTCTTCTTTCTATGAAACATTTAACTACCTGTACCTCGTCTGGGACATCATGGCCTTAGGAGCCTCCCCTTGATCTGTGATAAAACGTTAATGAGCACAGATTTGTGTACATAACCTCTGTTGCTATGAATTTGTTGGTGCAAGAGCCACTGTGTCTTAGAGGTTCTATTGCTGTTATGAAACATCATGACCGAACAGTAAATTGGGGCGGAAAGGGTTTATGTGGCTTGTATTTCCACATTGTAGTCCATCACTGAAGGAAGTCAGGAGGGGAACTCAAACAGGGAGGAACCTGGAGGCAGCTGATGCAGACACCCTGGAGGGATGGTGCTTATTAGCTTGCTCCCCATAGCTTGCTCAGCCTGCTTTCTTATAGAACCTAGGACCACCAGTCCAAACATGGCCCCACCCACAATGGGTTGAGCCTTCCCCTATCAATCATTAATTAGGAAACTGCCCTACAGCTGGATCTCATGGAGGCATTTTCTCAATTGAAGTTCCCTCCTTTCAGATAACTCTAGTTTGCATGTCAAGTTGACATGAGACTAGTCAGGACACACAGCATGTCCAGAAGACAACATTTTGTAGTACTTTTTCTCATTCTTCAGCTTTTATAGCCTCCCCACCCACTCTCCTACAAGGAAATGTTTCCTTAGGTTTTGAGGGGGAAAAAAACAGGAAAGTGTGGAGGTCCCCAAATCTTCAATAACCTAACTTAGTTCTACCAGAACCCATCTCTTGAAGGTCCCAACATTTCCCAATAGTTTCACAAGATCACAAGAAAATCTCTAACCCAAAAACTTGGGAGGGGGCATTTAATGTCCAAACTATAGCACATGGCATTTGTGTAGAAGATGGTACTTAAACACATCACAGCATGTGCTACTTCCCAATTCAAACAATCAAGGTCTGAAAGTCTGAAGAATGGAGTTTCTTGCAAAGTCTGGTGTCTAATTTTTGAGTGTTTACAGTAATGTAATGATGTTTGCAATCATGTTATTTCAATAAAAATAAACGAGAGATAAATTAATCTAATGAATATATGTTATGCTTTAACATTTGACCTCTTTTATAATTAGTCTTCCTTTCTGTGGTCCATACAGTAATTCAGACTTAATTAACTAGAACTTTAAGATATACCACATTAAAACACTATTTGCCATATTTATAAAATCTCTAAAAAATAAATGTATCTCACAATCACAAAGCATTCCTAGACTCACATCCCAAGGAAAGTATTTTGTAAGGACCACATGAGTTCCTTGGGAGAAGCCAATATATAGGCAAGGATAAATCAGAAATTATGCTTAATGCTGAGAAGAATATCTCTAAGAAGGTGAAGAGATAGCAAGCTATGTATTGTGAAAAAAAAATCTTGAAACTAAAAATAAGTTGCAAACCGTCTAACATATGTAGAGACAGATTTCATAAAACACCCTAAATTTGTATCAATTCACAAAAGTAAATTTAAACCACCCTTCTAAAACAACAGAGAATATACAACATGACCAATTATTTTCTTTTTTAAAAAGGAAAGAAATGCCTGAAGTTGTCAAACTTTACAGTACATAACTCAAGCAGTGTGATAGGAACTTGAACCTGAGTTCATGCTTCCATGAATGCCCTTTAAAACCTTTGGTAAGTCTGAAGATTGTGTGAAACATTTTGTTCTGTGTTTGGGAAACTTTCAGTATTTTAATTAATTTCTCTAAAGAGGCCTAAGCTGTATCTCATCAGATGGACCATTATTTCCAGTAAAATAGTTGTATAGAAAAATATGTTATAACCTGTTAAGTAATATGAAATAGTTCAGACAGTAAGAATTTCCCATGGGAAGGAGAGTGAAGTCTTAATTTTGTTCATACGGTGAGTTTAACTCATTTTGGAGCCCCAGTTTTATATGGGAGAATATAGGGTAAGGGGGTGTTATATGACAGAAAATATTCAAGTCTAACAATTACCTGTCATCGATTTTGCTAAATGCCCTATATTTGCTTTTGGGGTAGTATTTTATGTAATATTGAAGTGTTCCCTGCTTCCAAAAGTAGCCAGAGAACATAACAACTAAATTATATTGCCTATTTGGCTGCTCCATGAAGCCATTTGAGGTTGGCTGTCTTTCTCTGGTTGCTGATTTCTCAGCGCTGTAATGCAGGAGACAAGAGGCAGAACTGGGCAGGAAGAAGATCTGCTTCTAAGACAATCAGTAGATGATACACCATAGTTTATATAGTAACTGAACACAAGCCTTAAGGATCTCAAGAGAATTGATTCCAAAGCCTACTGACATATCTAATATACATGTGACCAAAGTAATATGCAGTAAAATTATGTAAACTGAGTAATATATGTAATTGTATAATAATATATGTATTGTCTTCTATACATAATGTGACAATAATATGAGACTAGACATGTGAATACCTGACACAGGAAAAATAATGTTGGCTTCTTTCCCACACTGGTGTCAGTGTTAGAGAATTATCACTAAGACAGTAAGTATATGATATATTCAAAAACCTTGTAAATTCTATAAGAGTCTTCTTGTGAGTCCTGGCACCAGAAATAAGACTATAGCAGTAGATTCTCACTTCTCCCATTTGTACAGCATAGAAGAAAGGCTGAAAATTGTCTCAGAACCTCTAAAGATCTTAAAGTGATGGTAAAAGATGACTTTAACCCTGTGTGCTTAAGCCAAGCAAGAAAGTTCCTGAAGGCGTCCATCCTTTTCTCTACACTGAAGCGCACACATAAAAGAAAAAATTTAATATTGGGAACAAATAGTATTTTCAAGGTAAACTAATGAAATAGAGCAATGTGAAATTTGGGGAGGTCAATTTTAATAAATCTTAATGAAACCAGCTCATATACTCTCCCTTTATTGGAATTAATATAGCATCTAGAAATAAATAAGTTCATTTGGAAATTTAATAATATTTATATTATATAAATATTATAAATTCTAAAGTAGATATTTCTAGATACTAATTAAATCTGCCTAACAAAATCTTTTGAATATGCAAAATCCTTTTTTAATTTTTAAAATTACCCTTTCACTTCAGTATCTGATGTCACACTATTATATTAGCAGTTATAAATAGAAACACATCATTGTTCAGTAAAGTAATATTGTTATATTATTTGATCAGGGCATCTTACATCTCACCTTTATCTTAAGTGTTTTGAATTAAATGTAATCCATGCTTTTTATTTATGTAGGACATCACCATTATTTCCGCTTCCAACATACCAGTATCTATTAGCATGGAGAAACTTATGCAATGAACAGACCTCTCATTTTAACACAAGCTTAAGTCTAAAGAAAATTACAAATGACCTGTCTGGATTTATGGAGAGTTATGAAAATGTCTTCCTGAAAAGGATATGCAACCAAGGCAAAGATGAAATGACACATGCTTTACTCCAGTTGATCCACACAGTCGGAGAGAGTAATGATGAATTACCTAGTACAGTGGCTACTTGAACACATTGTTCCAGCCAGATATGCTGTGACCTTTGCCACAGACTGAGAAGACAGAGCTGTCAGACAAAACTAGTCAAAACAAGCAGAGAACTGGTAAATAAGCTAGATGTGTATGATATACATAAGAGAAATTGTTGTGTGATATTTTGATTGTGTTCTGACAAATGAAGCTTGCTTGGAGTCAGAGGGCAGAGCTAGCCACTAGCCCATCTAATTAACCATAGAGGTTTGGAGGACTATAGACAGAAAGGAGACAGGAAGTAGTAAAGTAGGGCAGAGAGAAGATCTCAGCCCTTTTGGACAGAGGAATGAAAAAGGTAGGAGGTGACTGGAGGCTGCTCCGAACTTTTGTGATCTTCAGGTTCTTACCCTGATATTTGACTCCCAATTTTTTATTTAGTCACATGGCTTGTAAGATATGTTATTTATAAAATGTGAGTTAGATTAAATAAATGTCTAGGCTATTAATAAAAAATTATTAACATCATAAACTTCATGTTTTTATAATTCTACTTAGTTTTTGGGTTTTTTTTTTTGGGTTTTTCGAGACAGGGTTTCTCTATGTAGCTTTGCGCCTTTCCTGGAACTCACTTGGTAGCCCAGGCTGGCCTCGAACTCACAGAGATCCGCCTGCCTCTGCCTCCCAAGTGCTGGGATTAAAGGCGTGCGCCACCACCGCCCGGCCTACTTAGTTATTTTTAATAACCCACACATACATGCATATTTTGCAATTGAATATCTATTGCATATACATGTAAGAAATATTTTTAATCATGTGTAAAACTAAAGTTTGACAACCAACACAAGAAATCTACAGTTTCTCATCTGAGTCTGCCTATTGAGACAAGAGCACAGCTCGGGTGAGATGATACTTACTACTAAGACATACCCATTTATTGATTTAAATATTTTGCTAATTTCTTCATCATTGGAATAAAGCCAAAATGATCATGAGTGATATTTTTGATCTGGTATTGAATTAAGTTTGCATTTATTTTACTGAGAATTTTTGCATTAATGTTCATCAAGGAGATTGGATTGTTATTCCTTTTTGTGTGGTGTCTCTGGTATTAGTGAAATACTGGTTTTGTACAAAGCTTGGGGGTTTTTTGGGTTTTTTTTTTGGTTTTTTTTGTTTTTGTTTTTGTTTTTTACAGTAGATGATGATTAACACAGAGACTGACATCTGATAAAGGAGCAGAAGACTATGGAATGCTGAGCCCCAAACAGGACATCAATATCACACCCTCTCCTACCAAGGCTCAGGGATTACTGTAGAAGAGAAAGTAGAAAGATGGTAAGAGCCAGAAGAGGTGGATGATTACAAGGCAACAGTGTTTTCTGGAGCCAACAGGGCAGTTGTACATATGAACTCACAGTGGTTGTGACAGTGTGTGCAAGACCTCTGTAAGCCAGACAAAATCCCATCATAGAGACATAGGAAGAGTTAAGTTTTCCTTAACAGAGTGGCCCTTGGTGGACCTAACATGCTGTAGTGGATGGCCACATACCTAAGAGTATATAGGCTTCACTAATGAAGATATAGACTCAATGAGATCTTAAAAAAAAAAATGAATAAGGACATAAAATTTGATGGGTTTAAAATTGAGGGAAGGTTCTGGGAGGAGAAGAGGTAGGGGATGAATATGATCAAAATAAGATGCAGGAACGTCTCAAAGACTTAATATACATATTTTAAATTAATACAGAAAGAATAAAAGAAATATCCATTGTTTCTGAAATAACTGCATTTTTCCCTAGCCATACTTGGAAAAGGTAAGAGTGAAACTTCCATAGTATAAATGGTAGATGTGTTCTCACTCCAAAATACAGCTCAAGGTAGCTAACACATGTTGAAGGCAGCCTATGACATTTGAGAAAAAGAGATATATTGGCCTCTGAAAAGAATTGAGGCTCATGGTTGAACTTGATGTCTGTTGGCGACCAGTGATAATTCAGATATTCCTGCTTCTTCATTAGCTGTGGCCAAAGTTTTATTTAGATTGTCTCTATTTCAGAGAGTGCTCAAGAGCCACACAACACAAGTCATAACAATGAATTGACTGGTCTCACACTGAAGTGTGAAATCCTCTTGCCATTAGGGTTACTGGTTGGAAAAGCAGGAAAGTGCATTCTCTTTAGCATTATAATTGGTGAGCATATGGAACTGGCAAGGTTATTTAACAGAGAACATAGGTTCAGAAAGTGGGCAAGTTTCCAATTTTTTCATGTATTCATGCTTTCCTTTATAAAATGAATATCCTGAAGTGAAGGCTTGGAAAGCTGGTGTGTTATGAAGATTAATAAATGTCCTTTAATGTTATAAACTTTCTCATTAATCTTATGGGGACTAGGCATAGGATGGCTGTAATAAATACAGTGAAATACTGTGAGGTGTTCTTTCAATCCTCCCAAGCAAGCTTTGCTATAGTGGCATAAAAACCTCAACTGAGGATATCACCCAGCTTTTATTCTTTATTGTAAGTCCATAGATGATCCTGACCATATGCTGTCATGGCAAGTGCTGTAAGTTTAAAAGGGTAGACCATAACTCTCAGTGTCTACAGTTATTTACTCTTTCTAAAATTTAAAAATCAATATTCTAAAGCCATGCTTAAGAGCTTGGTACAAGAGAAAGATGTATTTCAGAGAGAAAATATTTACTTCATTCCTACTGTTCTCCTTCCCTTCAAACTTTTCCATTTGGAAGACAATGAAATTCTGTTGTTCTGACTTTGAACCTGCTTCTATCTAAATATTTATAGAGCCCTGGCCATGTATACATCACCAGTTAAGTTGTATAAATATAAAATTTTTAAAAATGTTTTAGAAATATTGCACTTTCAGTTTAGTGTTGGAAAGAAGCACACAAACTAATGCATTGTAAAGCAGAATATCTAAGTTTTTGATAACAGGTAGAAGCACACAAAGTAAACAATAGAATGATATCAAATAACATTAGAAAAATTATCACCATATCTGTATACACAGGCATCTGTGTGATCCCTACTTTCGTTTGTTTGTTTGGTTTGGTTTTTCGATACCGGATTTCTTTGTGTAGCTTTGGAGCCTGTCCTGAAACTCGCTCTGTGG